AGAAAACAAATTGAAATAATTTAATATTTGAATTTTTGTTATTTTCTTTTACCAACTATGTATAACAATAATACCATGATTAGTATCATGAATTCTTTCTTCTTTCTCTCTATTATCAATATTATATTGAAGACGTAGAAGAGCAATAGGATCTAATGAAAATTTTGTTTCAGTCCAATTTTTAACTTGAAAATGTTCAATAATACGAGTTTCATTTTCACCAATCTAAATTAAATAAAATATATTAATAATTCTTACTTATATATTTTATATTACTTTTTGTATTTTGAATTGAGATGTAACGATATCTAATCGTTTAAGAGTACGAATAAAATCCACTTGATAACTATCATTTATTTTTATTGATGAATTCTTTTCATCTGGCCAATATTGAATAAAAGAATTCTATTGAAAACAAAAGAAAATAAATAACATTTCAATCAAATCTAATCGAAATCATTATTTACATTTTCATTTATCTCATAAAGCATTACAATAGATAATACATTACGAAACCATATTGCATTCCAAAATGTTGAGATATTCGTTCGGTGCACAGCTATACGATAAATATATAATCATTTCATATATTTATATTCAATAGTAATTACCTTCAATTAATAAATAACGAACATTAACTTGATTGCTATCAATATAATTTATTTCAATGTTATGCATTGGAAGATGATGAATAACATCAACAGGAATTAATGATGACTGTCGTGCTGAAAAAAAGAAATTCAATAATTAGTACTAAGTCTTAAGAAGGTCAATTTCTGTAGCTCAAATGAAGCATAGGGCGTGGATGTTAGCCAAGAAAACACCTACACCAACATCCACATCCTCCTGATCATCAAAATTACTCAACCAGAAGTAAATTCGATTTTTTACACTTGATTAAGTGAAGGCTTAAAAGTCAGTTTTCTTGTTGTATTATTTTCATTTGGCTAAGAATATTCTTCTCCATCGTTTTCCGCTGTCAACACAAGATTTTATTATCGAGTTCTAAGCGCTAAAACCTAGACCTTTGATTTTCTAAAAATCCTGGTTTGAGGAATCTAATTTTCTCTATTCAAGTCACTATTTAGATTCTCTATAGCACGTATTACAAGTGCAAAAACTCGAATTTCCACTTCGTTGGATAATTTTGACAGCCACTTTAAATATTTCAATTACAGAAAGGCATTTCAATACAATGGAATATTACTCTTACGTGAATTTTTTTTATTTGTTCGATAAAGACCTTCAACTTGTTGAGCTATACCAAAATAATTTTTAAGAGCTAAACTTCGAATATGCTCTTTTATATTTTGTCTTGGAACTACAAGTGTATTGCTTAATAATGTTGGACGAATTTTTTTATAAATTTCTGCTTGTTTTTGATAATAATCTTCATCATATAATGCATTCCAATCGACTCTGTAAATTTTAATTGTAAATAGACTATAAATAATGAATTAAAACTTACGATGGTCGTAATGGACCACAACATGCTTGAATTAAATTTCGACATCGTGAACCACTAGAAAATTCATTATGTTCGAAATCTTGTCGATGTCTTGACTAAGTAAAAACAAATGAATTAATTAATTAAATTTAAAAATTAGTTTTTTTTTTTTTTTTATTGATTTACATCTTCTTTTGTTGTTACTGCATTCATTGCTAATCCACAATGACTACACCAAAATGGAAAAAGCATAAGCATAAGACAAATACCAATAAAACCATTAAAAAAACTTGGAATATTATGTGCAAAAAATAGACCGGATTGATCTTTATAGGTATCCCATCGAAGATAAGCAGCTAAACTACAACCAATGACTGTAATCAAACAAAGTATTGAACACGAAAGAAGAAAATTCCAAAAGTAACGATGATTTAATAAACCAACACAATTGTTAACTAAACAAAACAAGAAAATATATTTAGTATAAATTTTTACTAAATTGAAAAACTTTTTTCACGGTTATAATCTAATCTAAAGGTTTCTATTTTAATTTAAATACATAAAGAAGGAATGAAAGTTTTCTTCTTAAGATCCCCTCAAAAATCAGTCTCAGTCTATAAACATTCAAATGACATAAAATTTTCAGCCCGATATAATGACGTTTGAGGGAGATATTCACCAAACAAAGATCAAAAATAACGAATTTGCCAACCCAAATTTTTCAGTCCAGATCCATATGATGTATTTAATTGTTTTTTTTGTTTGAAAGAGCATGTCAGGATGCAGGGCATCACAGAGTCCTTTTTTTTAACTCTTACCTTTTAAGTGGAAAGAAGGCATCACAAGTTCAATGACGTAGAAATCCCTAACAAAAATGGCGCTGTTTCTATAGAGATATTTTCTTATATTGTTATAAAAAAGCTTATTTCAAAAAAAGGACTCTTTGGTACACTGTGCCTTGCCGTGCTCTTTCAAACAAAAGAAAAAAATTTAAATACATCACATGGATCTGGACTGAGAAATTTGAGTAGCGCGTTTGACATATTATGAACGGAGAAAAAACGAAAAAGATTTTCGATAAAAACGAGGTGCCGAGTAAAAATTTTTGTCGTTTATGAGAGATTAGATCAAGGGCTATCTTCTCTTGTATTTATCTTAATTTGGATCATTCTCATGAAAAGTGACTTTTTTTGAGGAAGTCTTAACAGAGAAATTTTGTTTATAATATTAAATAAAGAAAATCTTACTCCATGGACAATGATGATCAAAATTTTGAATACAAACATTACAAGTTGAACAATGTGTAACACGTGGTAAACGATAAACTCGACATGTATAACAATAAGAAGATGAATATGGAAAATTTTTTACAAGTATTGTTGTTGGTGGTGGTATAGACGGAAAATAATTTCCTTCTCTAAATAGAAAAAAAATAAATCAAACATATTTTACACTTAAGTTTTATTTCAAATAAATAACAACAAAAAATCAAACAAATTTTAATTAAATTTACAAATCTGTTTGAATATTATTTTCTTTTTCTACATGAAGAATTTCATCAGCATTTGGACGTGGTACAACACCAGGATCATGTAATGATGCAAAAAGATAATTTGTTATTGTATAAAAAAGTGCAAGACAAAATAATATTGGATAATAGATATGACCATTTTTAATAATTATAGGAAAACTATCATTGACAATAATAATAATAATAATAATTCTTATTATTAATATTTTATTCAAAAACTAAAAAACTTACTCCCATCCAATATGTAAACCAGATAAAACTAATATAAATGTAACGATACCAATGATTACACCCCAAGTTTTATATGTCCAACATGTACGAACATAAGAAACTGTTTTACTTGGATATATCTTAATTATATATTATAAAGAAAAGTATATAATTTATTATTTTGTCAATAGATTAATACATACTTGTCCTCGACGTACTTTCTTAACAGTTAACATAAAAATTCAATAATTAAATATACGTATTTTGAATATTCGACTCTTCCGAGAGATTATTACTCAGGTGAATAATGTAATAATATTAAAAGGTAGTTAAGAAACAATAACAAAAAGTTGTTTTATTTTTTTTTTCATCTTGCTTCTTTTAACCTAACTTATGAGAAACGGTTGACAGAGAGAATTGTTTTTTTTTAACATATTATTTTTTTTTCTGTTCTTTTTCTATCCACGTTGTTCTGCCATTATTCTTATTTAAAAAAAGTCTGTCGATTAAAAAGCAAGGTCGTTTCTCTAAAAACTTTATCGATGCTTTAAAAGAAAACAACAACAACAACAACAACAACAACAACGTTTCAAACCATTTTGCTTTCGTGGAAAAGAAAAATTGTTTAATAAATCAAAACATATGTTTTTTTCAAGACAACGCCTTTCTAACATCTAGAAACAAAGTTACCACTAAAATGACAACTGTTAATTATTGCTAGTATGTTCATATCATAAAGATAAAGATATGACGTTGGTTTTTGTCTTTCTTGACATTCGGTGAGCACGACTTAAAACTACTTTTCTTTAAAATTTTCTATTTGTGTAATAACATTAATGCATTAAAAAAAAATTCATCTTGATTTTTATTTTTATTTGAAGCTCTGGAAATTGATAATAGCTATCTTCAAGGAGTAGAAGAAATCACATAGAGTTCATGACAAACTCATACTGCTTAAGTACTTCAAGTCGAGTTTTGTACATTGGACATGTTCACAGTAGAATATCTGAAAAATCTCATATGTTACATAACCTTTAATAATGTTATCATCGATCATGTATTATTTTTCTTTTATTGACTGAAGCTAGGTCTTCCTAGTACTGAAATCTCGAAAGAAATCAAATTATGTGCCTTTGATATTCTCAAATTCATTATCTTATTTGTCACAAAAAAAAAACTTCTATCCAACGTTCAAAAGCATCGTTCAATTACTTTCATACCATTTCGTTCTACATGGACATTAAAGTCTCATGAACATTCCAATACTAGTAACTCAGAATGAGTTCCTGGTATCTAGATAGCAGATGTAGGACCAAGAAAAATTCAAAAACCTTAGCTACCATATAAACATGAAAAATAAATTCAACAATTAAGCAAATCCACGTCTCATGTTTCAAAAAGCTCAACTGGTCACTTCCTAGGAAAAACTCTTTTTTGTCAATCGAACGCTAAATATGTTCAAATTAAATGATCTGATTTCTTTTCTCAATATTATTTAAACCAATATCTACGACTGTGGACATTTAAGGATAAAGGATTAAACAAAAAAAAGACTTTTTTCTTTTCTTTTATTGAGTTATCATTGAATACATTGAAAAATATCGACTACATTCTACAATAAACAACATTTATTACTAATCACTCATTTAGAATAATTTTCTTTCATCATCAAATCTTCTCTTTGAATATATTTCCATGGATTTCATCTAGGAAAAATTAATTTAAATATCAAAAGTATAAAATCTTCCCTTATTTTTATTTGAATTATCCAATATGAAAAGTTATAGATTATAAACGCTACAACTCCAAGTCTCTTTGAAATCGATTTCATTAATATTTATACAATCACAATATTGTTACAAAGTTTTGCTTATTACAAATCAAAATTCTTAAACAATAAAATAAAAGAATTTTTTTTCTAATTAAGTTGCCACATTTATCGATGAAATCATGATTGTATAGACATCAATAACAGAATTACTGTATAACCTACAAAAAAGCTCAATGTCTTTATCTACAATTTCGTGTCTGAAAATATATTTCACTAAAAAGATTTGTATTTGCACGATCAAAAAACAAGCAACAACACATTTCAGGTGCATTGAGACTAGTTGAATTTTTAAAGTAACATTGATTATAAATAAAAACATGATCAATTAATGTCTATAAGAAATATTATTAAGAAAGAGAGAGCCACTTTTTGCTTAAAATACAATAATTGCATGATATTTTTCTTATTTTCTTCGCAAAACATATCTCACTATGTTTGCTCTCAAACATATATATTACTCTTTATAGAAAAGCAACTAACACAAACATTATATTGACAAATATCAGTCGAACGGGATAAAAGTTTCAATTCTATACTTGACTAACACTTAAAACTTCATCTACTAAACGAACTCAAGATAAAAATAAGAATACACGAAAGTATACTACTCTCAGTGTAAGTCAATCGTCTGAGCCACCATCGGCAGAACAAAAATAGATACATTTACAGATATTTTTATTCATTTCGAAATTTCACCCAAAGAAAATTTTTGAAAAAACATTGAAACTTTCGGCCGCCGCCAATTAATGCATTAGCTTACATCTCTAAATATGATAGACAAAAATTCGTTATATAACATCGCTCAACTTCAAACAAAGAACATCCTTATTCACTTTCACATACAACTGTGATTTTTTTAAATACAAACAAATAATCTCACCACGTGTCTATAATTATTATTATTTCAACATTATTTATAACAACAACTCATCAGACGAAATTTATGCCCGCCAAATGTCCTAAAACCATATCATAGTTTTATTTCATATCAGATATTTAATATTCCGTTTCATACTTTTTGATATCACAGAAAATATCTGTGATTTTCTTTTCGTGATCATTTGTTAAATACATTTTATTTATTATAAATAAGACAAAAGCTTTTTTTTTTCGGATGATTATAGACTCTTCAGATTTCTACATGTATTCATTTCTAAATTCAATGATAATGTATTTAATAATATTCAGATCGATTGGTGGCACACTGATAAACACGGAATAATTAATTTCAACCGTCTTCAAATAATGTGCCATTGATCGAAACTGAACTACTTGAAATAATATAAACATAAAATCAAACGTATATTTAAAAAAAAATAAATATCGTCGATAAGCTGTCTCTCGATGCATGACACAGTAACGCACGGCAAACATTGATTCGGAGCCGTGAATTAAAGTGCCATAAGTCAAAGAGACAAGATTTATATATTAGAGAAAGACCTACCTTCGAATAAGAAGGGTAACCGACCATCGAACAATTGTATTATTTGAAATACTGACCGACTGCTTAGAAACATCTCTATTTATACAATAAATTGATCACAATGTCTAATTTTGATTAACCAATCGCAAAAAATTCGTCATCTCTCTCTCTCTTTATCTCTTTCCAGCAAGAGAAAAAATTAATCATTTCACACTTATCTAATTGGTTAAAGAAAGAAAAGGATGACCAATTGGTCTACGATAACAAATAGACTAATTGGATAGATCGACATGATGCAATAAACAGCTTGTACAAATTCGATCGTAACAAATTGGCAATCGAAACAAATTTTCTTCTCACATATATGAAAGTTGTTTTTGTATTTTTTTTTTTTTGAAGATCGTTTCACACAATAACACTAAACTATATCCGATCATATCATATGTATTTCTAAGTTTAATAAAAAAAAAAAAATGAACAAAACTAATTTGTTCAAAATTTGTTACTAATGGTCAACAGTTTGGTTTTTTTTTGATAATTGTTTTCTATTCATGATTTTCAGATTCAAACAAATCTCGGAAAAAGTTTTTATTTCTATGAAGCAACAAGTGATAATACTCATGTAGTCATAAACTTTTGTTTCGAAGAGAATAACTTTTAAAATTATTATTCTCAGTATTTTCAGATGCGCAAAATAATGATGAGATAAACTGAAAGACTACATTTCTTAAAGAGAATATTGAATTGTTTTGAAGTTCGAATTATTGTGCATTATGTAAATCTTAATGAGCTATGAATATTCTGAATAGAGTTCGAGTTCTAAGCTTATTGTTGCTAAGATATTGGATTTTTTACGTCGATATCTTGGCCCTTTTTGAGAACTCTAGAAAAATTCATTTTTCGAATTTCGATTTGAAATTTTGCACAGAAATAAATCTTAACCAGAATATTTTAATATGAAAATTTTTCGTCTTTTGACTAGAGAAAATTTCAAGTTAAAATTCGAAAATGATTTTTCTGTGTCATCTTTGTATATTCATACCTCATTAAAATCAATTACAATTGATCAATAAGTAAAATAATTGATATTCAAAAGATTCACATTAAGACAGTTAATCTGAATGGTTACGTAGTTCGACATATGTTCAGGAGGTAATGTGTTCAAAGCTTGATACCATCAACTATGAAATGATCCTTGGCGGGATACTAATGGTTGTTTGTCTTGGATCGATTGTCTGATAGCATGATGATCACATTGTGACATACACCTGCTGTTTTAGTTAGTTAATGTGTATAGAAAGCTCAAGTTATTGAGCACAAAAACTCTGCGTTAGATCGGTCATCTATTCAGAGCTATAGCTAGTCAAGGTTGTCGGGAAGATATCGAGGCTAATAAATCTGCCGTGAAGTAGCCGAAAAATAGCGGTACTCTTCATATCCTACAAAAAGATAATAGTTTTGATGCCAGGAAAGACTAATTTTGTCAATACTATCATCGGAATGTAAAACTATTAATACATTTGCTTACATTTTTAATAATCTTCATGAATTTTCATCTGAAAACGTATTCATTTTTTTTTGAAGTTTTTATTTATATAAGCATTAATTTCTAATATATACATTCAGTGATCGATCTGATCTCTATTTTTTCTTAATTCGAGTACAAAAACTCTTTTGTTTTTCTTAAAAATCTTACATAACATATTTCGAATTGATCGAACATCATGTATTGAACACTTTCTTATTCAATAACATAAACCAATTGTTATTTAGATAAGCAATTTACTTTAACCTGCTGTTTAAAGATAATTCAATTATTTCCAATCCTATTGAACACACATACACACACATATGGCAATATACTTGACAGTCAAATGAGATACATGAAATGATATGTTGGGAAAAGACGAAGACAATAATGTGTTACCTATCATCACCTATTCACATACCCTTGATAGTCACATACAATTGAAAAAATATATGTTATCTATTTTTCTTTTAATTCGATTTATGAGAAAAGTCGAAAGATCAAAAATAAAAATTGATATTGATCATTGATTATACTTCTAAAAGATCTTATTTGAAAGAAGGAAAAAAAAAGAATATTTTTTCAAGAGTATTTAACACAAGCTGCTGTTCAATTTATGAAAAATGTGTGATTAATTAGAAGCATCATCGGTATATTTGAACAGTGACAACGAATGAACTAGTCATCTAATATATAAATATGGTATCATGTTTTTCCTTTTGTCATGGATGCCATTCAACAAGCTGTTACTCTTAGACAATTGTCATCGGGTATATTTGTTGACAAACACACACACACACACACACGCAGCCGTTATGAAATTATATGTTCTTTTCTTTTTCAATTTGTAACAGTTCATAGCGGCTTCACTTTTTAACACTTTATGTTGTTCAATAAAATATAAAAAATTTATTAGAATTTTAATGTATTTACTACTTGATTCTAAGATAATCGATCAAGATAATTCATGTTGATAATAAGATTGTATGAAAACAATGATAAAATCTTCTCGTAAATCGTCTTATAAGTCAAACTAGAATTTGTTACTTATAACTAACTTATTTTTTTTGAATGAATTTTATCTTTTTCGAGATCCTCTATTGAGATTATATTAAGAGAGAAAAAAGTACGATTCCAGTATTTTGAAGTACTAAAATTGAGTTTTTTCTGTCTTGTATTAGACATAATCTAGTTGGATTCGTACTCATGAGTTTTACTTCTTGAGTTATGTTCATTATGGTTATGCCTTTACACAAAGAATTTACGATGAAAATACTGGATTTTTCTTCCTGAGACCCGAGAAAGATATTTTTAACACTTTTGGTTTCGCATGTGTTGATCTTCATTTTCTTATTAACAAATGAAGATTCGTATGTCTATATTTTCTCACAAAGAGGATACTTCAATTCCTAGTAATCTTAAGGTGCAGAGAAGCTTCCATTGTATGAAACGATCTCAGCATGAATCTTCTCTCTATCGATGACTGTGATCGTGAAATTTTCAAGGTAAATTGTTAAAATTAACCGAAGATATCAGTTACTTTTCGACAATTCTCATGTGAGAATTACTCAAACAATACTTCATAAATCAAGCAAACTAAAACCGTTTGATATGGAATTTTTATTAGTGATAGAAACAACACTGAGCTATGTTAATGAAAATGGTCAAGTTTTAATGTATTCAACTAAAAAAAATTTTTCTTTTTTTGTTTAGTTTAGTGAAAAATACAGATAATAAAATATCATAATTCGATAGTTTTATCCGTATTTGAAATCAGTTAATATCGCCAAAGTCATCGTTATAATAAAAATTATATTTCAATTAATTCATTGGATGTAATTATCATTTGTTTCTCATCAGTATAATACAAGAATGATAAAATTATCTTGTGGAAAAAAGAAAATTATTACTTTATCTTCATTTTGTAATATAGAGAATGTTTCATAAGTTCTAAATCTCGATAAAAATTGGTTTGACATTGATCCACAAGAGTTATTTTTTATTAAGAAAAAAGAAACTCAAATAAATGTTCACGATAATAACTGATCGATTGTTACTATAGTTATTTTTTTTAAATCTCAAATACATTCATCAATTTTAATAATAATAGGATATTTGAAACATCGGCAATTCGAGTACTCAAATCACATATAAACACATTCCATCAGAGATCATTGCCAGTCGACATATAAATTAATGAGAACAAAGTATTTGCTAGCTAAATTACTTAAATGGTCAGTTTGTTGATGAATTTAGAGATAAGTAAATATAATTTATTAATAGTTGATTAAATCAAAAGAGTTAGTGTAGAAAGTCAAATGCGTTATAGTATGATTCACATTATTTTTCTTCTTTTCTTTGTACCATGCAGTAGTACAGATGTTATGTACGACATACATGCAGATACTCTTTACTTCTATTATTTTCTCTGACTTCAACTTAGAGTTTACGAATAAAAGAGATGAACGTAATACAAGTTGTTCAATATGAAAGTGATGTATCAGATAAAGACGTTATGGAAGAAAGTTATGAAATAAATGAAAACAAAAAACCTTGCTAAAAAAAAAGAAATAAAAATATTGGTTGAATGAGGCTACATTTGATAATGTTGATAGAACAGAGCTATTAATTGTAAACAAATGGTCAAAACATTCTATGAACTATGCAGAAAATAGAAGAACAGTTGTTTATCATCGATGCAACAGAGCTGAGTATCATGGATAGAGATATGCAGAACAAGAACTACGAGAAATAAAAAATGAGTGCTGAAAGATTTCTTTAGATATGATACAAATAAATTCTGGAATAGTTCTCTCCAGACTGGGATCAAAGAAACTTGATTCCGCATATCTCTAATCGTAGATCTTAATCTAGAGCAAATAGTTATCTGCTGTATCATGCGAAAAGTGAAACACGTTACTATCTATAAAGCTAAAGCTGACTCGGATGATTACAAGAGTGTGAATGAAATGAAAATACATTCGAATAAGCACTCATCCGTATCTTATACAGAATAAAAAAGATCATTCTCTCAATAAAATCTATGGCCAAATCTGAATGTTTTACTAGTATAAAAAGTATTTTTTTTTTGCTACTTATTATTATCTATAATAATATATTTGTAGCGACAAGACCCGCCGGTGGGTCTCACCATATTTTAACAAGAAACTTAATGGAAAAACACTTTCTTTTCCTTTGTTTTTCTTATGCATAAAATTACACATAATGTGTCATCTGCTTTGTCCTCGCTATTATTTGAATCATTTATTGCATAGCATGATGTTCTCGTTAAAACAATCAAGACAGAAAAGTTTGTCACAATCCAAATGGATCATGTTTATTTTCTTTGCTGTCGCATGGCTCATTTCTCTTGATTGTTGTTCCCTGCTTTTCTAATAGCAGCCAGCATAGCGTTTTCGGGCGATGCGCGCAGATCCTTTCTTTTCTTTGACCTTTCTAGATTTGTCAGTATTGTTCCACATATCGATTAGTTTCATGAACCATAATGCTAATAATTTTGTAAGTGATAAAATGTCGATAGAATTGATTGTATTATCTTCCGATGTTGGTATTACTTCTTCAACAATTCTATGATCCTCCTGAAACTCAGCATCCAGTTCTGGTTTCTATTTTAGTACAGACTTGTAAATCAGTGTCATCATCAGCAACTTATCTCTCGAGGCTTGAAGATTCAAATTGCATTCTAACAAAATCATCATCAAAAGTACTCACATCATTCAATGACTTACTGCTGTCTTCTTTATCAATTTCTTAAAGCAATATATAAATCATCGCAAAATTTGATTTCATTTATCTTGTTCCTACTGTGCAATATACACAAGAAGAAAGAGAGAAGCAAACTTGAGTAATTATTCAATTCGACATGAAAGACTGCCTATATAATAATACAAACAAGAACTGAAAAGAGCCAACTAGTACATTTATCAGAAAGTGAATGCACATATCAATGAATTTGTTAAAGATATTTTCAAAGAAAATCGAATCATTGCGAATATGTTAAATTACAGCCTAAATTAATACTTCGTCGAATTTTCAAACTTATGAAATATCCTGCATACGACTATTGCAAGTATTCAATATCATTCATTATTCTAATACCCGAAAAAAAAAACAAAATTTTTATATTATGAAAAGATGGACTATATAATAATTATATATACAAAGGTAAAGTGCACACTTCTAAAATAAAATTTACACATACTGATAATAAAAATGCAACAAACAAACGTTTTATATTATGAATTAATAGTCACTGTTTAATGCTTTGTTTTTGTGTTTTTTGATTCTTGAAAGACTATCGTTTTGAAGTTTTATTTATTCCATTAGTTGATGTATTGGACGGATCAGTTGGTAATTGTTTACGTGTTGCTGGAATAGTACGTTGTTTAGCAAGAAATGATTGATTTTCATGTGATTTTAATCGTTCTTCAAATTCACGTCGTTGAAATGTACTACCCTAAAATATGACAAAAATAAATTTATTTTTTTCATTTATTATTGAAAAAAAAAAAAAAAAAATTTACCAATGAATACCAAGCACTAATTAATAATTTTTCTTGATCTTCTCTTATCGCTTTCATTTTTTCATAATCGTTCTATATAAAGATGAATAGAAAAAAAGTAACATTTTCTTTTTTTGTGAATTAAATAATAAAATATTATATACTTCAAGTTCTTTAATTCGTCGATCTTTTTCATCGATTTGTTTTTTTAATAATTGAATTTCTTGATGACTTATTGAATTACTATTACGTGGATCCATTTGACGTAAAACCATTTTAGCTTTTTCTAAATATTGTACATAACGTTCTTCCATAGCATTTATTTCAGCTGTTTTTGTTGCTATAGTTACATCTTTTTCAGTAAGTTTTTTTTCTAAATTAAATAAATTATCAATATATAAGAATATTATGATTCTGTTATTTTTTTTTTTATAAATACCAGCATTATCTAAACGTTTTTGTAATTCATCTATTTGATTTTTTGTACGTGTTGATTCTTCTTCATGACGTGTCATTGCTCGATTAAGTGATTTTTTAAGATCAGTTATTTCCGTACTATTTTCAGCTAAAGATGTTGTATCTTTAAGTGTTGCTTCTAATTCAAGAATTTTTCGATTTGACATCCTTAAGATAGAAAAAATAAACATAAGTTATTCACAAAATCATCGATTCAAAAAATATCTTCAATAGATTCATCCCAATGTGATGCAAAAAAACGTTGGTTGACCGTCCGGTATAATATGTGCTATATTGATGGTAGTTTGATATTTAAGGATATTCGGACCATTTCTAGTTTTCGAAGAAGATGCAATCAATCCGCATGAAATTTTCTCTGGTTTTCCATCGGACCTACTTATGACCCTCGTTTACCTTTGTCCGATAGACTAGATCTTAGAAATGAAAATAGCTAATTTCAAAACTTCAGCCCGATCGGATAAATCTAGACGGAGGTCGAAGCGGGATCGGTGTGGTCCTATGAAAAATCAAGGTTTTCCGAAAAAAATGGCGAAAACTTCATTTGAAAAATTTGTTTTCGAAAAAGTATCGCTATATGTTAGATGTTCTATCTGTAGTAAAAATTTCATGCAGATCCGTTGTATTCTCTTCGAGAACCAGAAATGATCGATTAGCGTTAGACTGATATTCTACTGCAGCATACCGATGGTTTTTATCCGACCGAAAATCTACTGTCAGTATGCCGAAAGTAGTACGAACATTAATTGTGAACTAAGATATATTGAATTTTCACCTAATTCATTTGAGTAGGATTCAATGAGGGGAGAAAAAATTCAGATGTGGAAATTTGTAGAAATTTAACTTCATTGTTTCGTTGAAAATAGCGTTTCATATTTTTTTTTGGAATAAAAACTTATTATCGAATTATGAACATTGAGTTATCTCGCATACAACTCTCTTAGACTTTTATCATGGTATGAGATGGTATGTACTCATTTCTAGAAAATATAAATAAAATGCACCTAATGCTAGACTAGAGATTGTATGTGTAAAAATTAATTTTAGCTACATATTATCAATGTTTTATCTAGACGCTAGCAACAGTATTGCTTAGCTCGTATCATCCGTTATATAATAAAGCGCAGAAATTGAAATTTACCATATCCCCTATGGCCGCCAAAATATAGTGAATGTGGATGTTGTTTTTAATATCTGCGGGAACAGGAAAAGCTAGCGACCTGCAATTTCCAGTATTTCAAAGAAAAAATTGGTAGAAGTGTAGTGATATCAGAAAGTTTTCGGGTGGGTGAGAAGTCTGAGGAAACACGAATCAACAGTTATAAGTCTCTGCCTATTGATCTTGGATCATCTCAAATAGGTCCAGACTAGGATAACTCACCACGTTGAGCTCGATAGTGATGTTTCTTTTCATTTTCAAAATGATCAAAAATGACTATATTCAGATTTTCTAGAGGCTTACTATTGGAAAACCTCATGATTCTGACATTGCTATACTTTCACCACGTTACTCTTTCACATATTGAAAACCGCAGGTCGCTAGATTTTATTATTCCTGCGATAGTCGAAATGACAATCTTTTCGTGGCGATGGTAAAAAAATTTTAGAGATTTTCTCTTATAAGAATAAAACTTCGATATTCTTCTCTATCTTCTCGGATACATTGTAAAATGATTTATTTACCAAAGATCATTAGTTAATTGATTATTTTGATCCTTAAGTTGTTCAAAACTTGCTTGAAGAATTAATATTTGTTCATTATTCGTCTCTTCAGTTTGACGTAATTTGAGCATTTTATTTTCATGTTGTAGACGAATAAAACGTTCTCTAAAAAACCAAAACAAAAAAAAAATAAGTTTAAAAGTTAAACAATATTTATTATTAAATACATAGAATTAAATTCTCGATTAACATTTAAAATCAATCGAATGTAATAAATAGACTTTTATGATTATATATTAATTCTTGAAAGGAATGATAAATCTAAATTTAGAATTAATTCAAAAACTTATATCAGACTTAAAGCAAAACATATTCTTTTTGATGGACTCTATCAACTTTAACACAAAAGTCCAAAGTACAAAATGAAGATTACTCATGAGAATATTCTTCTACATGTATTCCCCATGGGAAAGTACTAATCGAATGAAATCGATAAATACTGCAAAAAAAGAATTCTTAGCTCATCTATGTCACGCAAACTTAAAATTTTATGTAGGTCATGATGAACTCATACCTATTTTTCCATGAAAACTTTTCGAATCAATTATACGAGAGTGCATTGAATTTTTATTTTTTACAGACAAACTTTAAAGGTATTATTAAAACCTACAATCTTTTACAAAAATATATAATCTGTTTTCAAAAAAAATTTATGTTTTATTTACTTTAATATTTTTCCTGGAATTAAAAAATCGACGAAATTTTTTATATTTCGATTAAAAATGCTCACTTTTTAACAGTACTTTTGAATATTCTATATTGAATGAAAATCAGAATTTTATGTTCGTTCCGAACATATAACTTCAAAATTTTTCTAGGACGTTCGGATTTACAAGTTATGAGTCGAACTTTTCGAGATCCATGAATTAAGTTTAGACACGCCAGAAGTTATCCAAAGTAAAATTTATTTCAAATACACCGAATAAATGTCCTACTAATGATCATTTGTCAACAGAGAATATTTCGATACAGTATGCGTTATCGATTTAGGCAAATTTCTATGGAAAATAGAATTGTAAAGTGAATTTAGTCATTCCTGAATAGAAGGCTATCGAGTCCGAATCTGAAAGTTTTCTGTTGATCGGACCCGGCTTCAACAAATTTCAATCAATTGGATCCAAATTCGGAAATTCTTGAATCCAATGGAGTCTATTCCTGAAACTTTTGATTCTTATGGCACTTTATAGAGAACAATCTCGCCTTTAGTTCTATGTATTTCGAGCTTCTAAAAGTTCAATTCATAACATCTAAACTCAAAGTCTTAGACAAATGTTTAACCTAAAGTGGACAGCAAAAATTTAAGACACTTATTTTTGAAGTTTTTCATCGAAGATGAGTAGCTAGATGAAGTCTAAATAATGATTTGGATAGCTCTTAAAATTCCCTATCGAATACAATATGTGTCAAATTTTCAAAAGAAACTTTGTGAAGAAAGTTTTCTAGAAAAGCGTGTCCGGAGAATTTGAAGTCCTAGAGAATTTTGATAGAAAGATTTTTCAATATAAGCATCTGAAAGAGCAGAAAATTCTGAACAAAATGAAAGGTCGCCCAGCTCTGTACAATACTCTGTCACAAAGTTATAAGCAATACAAAGAACGAGAAAAACGCGTTTTTCGTCGATCTTTATCAAAAGAAGCCCTAAAAGTCGATAAAAACCGCATTTTTTCGTTTTTTCTATTGCTTATAACTTTGTGATAGAATATCGTACAGAGCTGGACGACCCTTCATTTTGTTCAGATTTTTCTGCTCTTTCAGATGCTTATATTAAAAAAATCTTTCTGTCAAAATTCTCTAGGACTTGAAATCCTCCTAGCACAGTTTTCTAAAAACCTTTCTTCACAAAGTTTCTTTTGAAAATTTGACATATATTGCATTCAATAGAGAATTTCAAGAGCCATCTAAATCACTATTTGAATTTGACCTAGTTACTCATCTTCAATGAAAAACTTCAAAACTAAAAGGTGTCTTAAACTTTTTCGGTCCACTTTATATTCGTACAAATTTTCGATTCAAACTCAATATCTTCAAAGACTGAAAAATGAATGAACACTTTGTCACACAACTTTTTAATAACCCGCTATTTGCTCTTTTTTTTTTTTGACTACCGGAAAACGGACAGTTGCTCGCAAATCATTTTATTTGATAACCTTTTTTTTTTTACCTGACATCAACTGGTAAATTAAGAAAATTAAGATCTTCTAATGATCCAGTTAATTGATCGTTTGAATTAGTCGCTCTATCAGCTATATTAAGAAAAAAAAAAAAGAACAGAAAGTACAAATTTTATATTTTAATTTAACTTAATGATTAACCTTCATCTAAATTAACACCACTAAGTTTTTCATTTGTATCTCTTAATAATTCAATTTGATTTGTTAAATTCTATAGAAGAAAAAAAGAAAAAAATTTTCTTTGTTAGTTTCAAATGTTTACGAACATTTTTTTCTGCATTAATTGCATTTAAACGTTCTTCAGCTCGATTTTTTTCAAATTCAGCTTTATCAGTAACACGTTGTAATTCACTTATTTTTTGATATAATTCTTGATTTGTTCGTTTATGAAATTCAACTTGTGTTTGTAATAATTTTGCTTGTTTATATTCTTGTTCTAAATTAGCTTTTTCATCAAATAAACGTAAATTTGTTTCTTCTAAATATTTCATTTGTTGTCGAAGATCAGACATTTCTTCTAATTTTATTTTATATGCATCAATAGTTGATTCTAATTTAGTCTTTAGAAAAAAAAAAAAAAAAAAATTTCAAATTACAACAAGTATAACAAATTCTTTTTAAAACAAACCATTTTTTCACATTTATTTCTTAATATATCTAATTCATCTTTAAAATTTCGTGCATCACCAGCAAGTACCATTAAATCATCATTCTAAATAAATAGATATTTTAGTTTAAGAATTATTTTCTCTTTAACAAAATATTTACTCGTTTAAGAAGATTTTCATTATCTTCACGAAATACATCAAGTTTTGCTCGATAATCCTGTAAAGCTAAAATATTAAATTCTTATGAATTATACGATCATTCAACAAAAATTCAAATTGGAAATGGACAGTTATTATTTGCTAGGACAGAAATAGAACCGATCTGAGTAGTCCAGATCGATCTACCAGTTCCATTTACATGCTATGCAAACTTCCATAGGAATTTTGAATAAATTAATTTCTTTTGAGAGAATGATTATCATTATCATAAACTGATTGATTTAATTGTTTCAATATATAGGTGTGGAAAGAGAAGATTCAAACTCTTCGCAAGTGCAATCATTCTAGACTGTCTTATAAACAGTTACTTCTAATCGAATTATATGTCGATTGAGAAATTTTGCTGAATATGCGATCACTCGAAAATATTGTTAGTTCACTGCATCTATTACGAAAACCTACAGATGCTGATCTTGTCTCTATTTAAAAATTGTGTCAAAATACTTGCCGAACATTTTTGACTAGGAAAGTTCTCTGCATACTTCTAGAATTTAGAAGAAAACTTTTATCAACTATCAAAGTTCATCTTATTTTCTGTCTTTTTATCGGATTTTGGTAGCGTTACGATAGAGCATTGTAAATAGATAAAAATAAAATCTTCATTTAAAGCATCTCCTCAAAAAAAAAAGTCATTTTTCGTCAGAGTGGTCGAAATTAAGATAAATACATAGGAAGATAGCCCGTGATTTGATCTTTCATAAATAACAAAAATTTTTACTCAACACGTCGTTTTTTCCAAAAATTTTTGAAGATTTCTGTCGTCCTCTACTCGAAAAATAAGCTGCTTTCAGAAATAGAATCTCGGTTTTGTTTTTTTCTCCGTTTATAGTTTCTTGAGCGTGCAATTCAAATTTCTCTGTCGATACTCATTCAATAGATTTAATTTTTTTCTTCTGTTTGAAAGAGCGTATCAAGAGGCAGTGCAATACAAAACGTTTTTTAAGTCATTAAACTTTCGATTTCTTTTCTTCTCTTAAAAAGCAAGCATTTAAAAACAATGGTTCTGTACTGCCCTGCATCCTAACATGCTCTTTCAAACAAAAAATAAATCAAATCTCTAGAATGAACCTGAGCAGAGAAATTTGGTTTGCCTAATGAGCTATTTTTGACCTTTGTTTGGTCAATATTTCCTTCAAACGTCATGATATCGGACTGAAAATTTCATGTCATTTGAACATTCCTAGGCTGAGATCGGTTTTTTGACGGGAGGTCTTAAAAATAAAAGGATGAATGATGGTAAGATTATTTTTCGAAAAAGTGAGAATCAGCATTGGATTCTCATCATATAGGCTTTTTTTGAAAAATGGCCTTACTGTCACTAATTCTTTTTTTTCAGTAATCGAAGTTAATTGAATCCTAAGTTTAGTAAGGCTTTTAAAAAAAGCATATCGTATAAAACAGAATATTAGATATTTTGAGCGTTGTAAAGTAAATTCGCGTCACATTAATCTATTTGAAGACTTTAGATAGATGATCTTGATTTAATAATGAATTTCTATGATTACTTGTTTCAAGTTTAAATACTTCTTCTTGTTGAGATTGAATTCGTTCTTGTAAACTTTTATAACGACTTCTTGGAATTGATCTTAAATATAAAATAAATTCTTAGAAACAAAAAATGTTTAATTCATTTCTATTTACTCGGCATCTTCAGCATTTTCATATTGTTGTAAACGTTCATTTAAACGTGTTGTTTCTTGTATTAAACCAAATTTATCATCTTGAAGTGTTGATATTTGTAAATCAAGTTCACGACAACGATGTTCAATTTCTTCTTTAGCTTCAACAACACGATTAAGTTCTTCTAACGCATGTTTTAACTAAATAATAATTTATTTGATTTTTTTTCGAAGAGAAAAAATTCAAAATTTATTTACTTGATCACCTAATTCAGAATATTCTTCATTATTTTTTCGAATTTCTTTTACCATTAACTAGAAGAAAAAATTTTTTATTTATTTAGTTTTTTTTTGTTAAATATCTTAACCTCTTGAATAGCATTCATTAAAACATGTTGAACAGATTCTTCTAATAACATAATATGTTCAATATAAAATTGTTTTCTATCACAACTAACAGCACAACCAAGAACAAGTTGTAATAATCGACTAAGTTCTGTTTCATCAGTAGTTTCAGCTATATTAATCAAACAATAAAAAAATAAAATAAAATAAAATTTTTATTAAACAATTACATATCATATTAACATCAGGCATTTGAAAATCAACAAGAGATTGACCAAGTATCTTAAGATAAATAAATAAAATTTTGTTTTTCAAAAAAAAAAAAAATATGAATATTACTTCAGAATAATAATCGGTTATATTCTTGAGAATTTTTTTAAGATTATTTGCCTAAATTTAAAATATACAATAATAACAGATAGGTCATAATAAACGGATCAAAAACGTTTTTCCTATTGACGAAACATCCGAAATGATAACCATCGTTGGACATCTTGATAAGACTAGCAGAAGTCTAAAAGGATTCGTTTCATAAGTTTCAATCGAAAAGAATATTCGCGCTATGAGCTCAAACGGCGGGTTTCATTTCGGATGATTTCTTTATCAGACGTCCAACTGCAACTTTTGTTTCATAAAATTTCGCATGTTTTTTACTTTCGAAATAATCGAAAAATTTACGTTGTTCTATTTTAGTATTGCATCGTTTTCTTTGGGATAGTTAACTTTTGAAAATACAATACCGGTAGGTGTTAGTTTCAAGTCTTTCGCACGCAAATGACACTATTCGAAAGTATAGAACAGGAAATTCTGTATGTAATCATGCTGAACATTTTACATTTAGCATCAAACTTACAAGACGATAGATATCCGAATGAAAAGAAATTCTCTATCGAATAAGTCTAAAACAGATTTTTCCATTTGTTGGGATATATCATAGAAAAAAAAACATTTTGATCCGTTTTATTTTATAACTACTCATTACTTTTATTCGATAATTATCACCAGCATCAGTTCGAATTTTTTGTAACCAAATATCATTAAAATGATTTGCATCACTAGAAAAAAAGAATTTTTTTTTTCTAATATAAAAATAGAAAAATAATAACGAACATATTTTTTAAACACATAGCAATAAGAACACCATCGGATAGATCACCAACACCATTTATTGGTCGATTTAGATCAAATGTTTTCATCTATATATAAAATAATAATAACAAAGTTCAAATATATGTATATTGAGATGAATTTTTTCATACCCATTTAATTAAACTATCGCATAAAATACGTCGATCCATATTTATCAATAGAAATCTTTTTTATCTAGAATTTTGAAAAATCTGATATAATAATGTTTTGAAGTTATTTCTTTAATTATGTAAATGATCTTCATATAGGTCTCTTCTTAGTCTATTGCTTTATTTTTGTTGAAATAATAAAAGTATTTCAAGGTTAATTTGTTAATGGATAATATTTTGTATTCCATGTAAAGTGTTTTTTCGAAATAAATATGCACTAGTACTAGTTTACTAGTCATAGACTGATTCTAGTGTATATCTAATATCATTAGTTGTTATAGCATAAGGATCAATAGAGATTAGTAAAATAATACTGAAAGTGTATCAAATCGACCAATCAGAATGAGAGATTAAAGTTCGATGATTCCAAAAATTACCCGAAACCTTTAAATCATCACATGAATATAATAAATTTTGGTTTTTTACCAACGACGCTACACACTTCATTACTATTATACATATATATATATATATACTAGAATCTTTTTAATCCTCAAAATAGATTTAGAAATTTTTCGGATATATCTAATGATTTAAAGGTTCTAGTACTTTTAGAATTCTAGATCTCTAACGAAAGCTAATGCATATCTATTTTGAAGCAAATTCCGATACTAATTTCCCATATGAATCGAACTCAATAAAAACCGTCGGTATATTGTTTTTTTCATGAAAAAAAAATATGTAGAAACATTCTCATTTCCCTGGTCTAGTATGACCGAGAGAGTTAAAACAATTTTCACATATACTGTACACTATTTAGGATGGATTTTTTATTTTTATTATTCTGATGATATTTGGTAGCTCTTACGAAAAAAATTCTATACAATTAATTATGCGCTTTTTCAGTACTTTTAATATTTTGGCTTCTTTTTTTTCTATTCGAAGGATAAAAAATAAAAAGAAACCAAAAAAGTTACCCATTCAAAACAATGTCTAGTGCCTGGAAAAAAATTTTTAGTTCGATCGAACATAGCATCTCGCTCAAAAAAGGCGAAGAGGGTAGTATCTTTAAACGGTTGGCTATCGTCTGACTGCAGTATACCGATAGTTGTTCTTTGACCAACAATCTACTGCTTGTAAATCATCGGTTCTTATGAGTACCATAGGATATACCGGCAGTATGGATTATCACTGGACAAAATATGCGATAAATGATTTGGTCAGAGCTTCGAAATTGTTTTGATGAACTATCTGAAAGATAAACTGAAAAAAAAAACATCATCAAGTGATACAAAATTTAAAAATTTTATCTTTGTCTTAAGATAACTGAAATAAAAAAAAAATCAATGTTTAAAATTTATGATTCATGAAAAAAAAAACAAATAATTCATATAACAGTTAACTTTTCAGTGACAAAAAGAAATAACTCAAAAGAAATGACGCACACTATTTTTTTTTTATTATCTATGACTAATGTCAATATTCATACTTCTCTCTTTTTGAAATATTCCATATATATAGAGAGAGAGAGTAGTACATTTGTTCATTTAAAAAATCGTAGCGACAAACGATACTACTCGTTTATTTTAATGATTGGTTAACAGTCTCCATTGAACTTGTAAAAAATCTTTCTCGTCAATAGATTGTTCTGTTTGTCGCTAGTGTATTTTAAAACTATAAAAATCTTCTATTATGCAGGAAAATATGACAACAAGGCCACTATGGCGTTATTTGTGTTTACTAATTATATATATAAATTTTTTTATTTTGATATTTTTTACTGTTTTTCTTTCAGATTTATTCATTGACTGTGATTTGAAGAGAATTAAATAAATAATGTAAATAATTTTAAAAGATTTTTAATCAATAAATTTTTTTTTCTATTTTTTATTAGGACATCATTATACGAAAATCAACCTCGTTCTACACAATATGAAACACCAAAACAAACGGATAATCTTCAAGCTGATGTTAATCAAGTATGAAATAACAAAAATTTATTCAAGTTACACTAAGAAATATTTTTTTTTTTTGTTTTTTTTTTTATAGGTTGTTACTATTATGAAAGATAATCTTGAAAAAGTACTTGAACGTGATGCTAATTTAGCTGCAGTTGAAAGTCGAACTGGTGATTTAGAACGTGGTGCATCACAATTTACAATAAATGCTAGAAATTTAAAAAAGAAATATTGGTGGAAAAATCTTAAAGTAAGTTATTTGTTTAAATGAATAAAGCAGTTTTAGTATTCATATAGTTCATGTTTTATTATTAAATATTATAATATTACATGATGAAACATGAACAATAGAAATACTCTAAAAATAATATTTAATAGAGATTAATTTTGTTGTAGATGTGGGCTATTTTAATAATTATTATTGTAAGTAGTTATTGTTTTATGTGAGATCTCAATCTAAGCACTTGTTTTTTGTTTTTTTGTTTAAGATCGTTTTGATCATTGTCATTGTTGGTAAGATATCAAAGATAATTTTATTAACAGAGTCAATTTTTTTTTTGTTTTTTAGTTGCTGTTACACAATCAGCAAAAGGCAACAGTGATAATAATAATAATAATAATGTCAATCAAAATACTACCCCTGGAAAATAAATCAATATAAAATCAGAGAATGGTAAGAAAGAGAAAGAATTTTTATGACGTTAACATAAAATATCTAATCAGACAAATCTCTACGGAGGAAATATTTTCAAGTGTCCAATTGCTTTTAAGTTAAAACTATGTGCATCATGTAGGTTCTGACAATACTATGAATACTCTGTAAGAAGTTAGAGTGAGAATAGTAGAACTTTCTCTGTATCAAGTTTCAAGTGAAAATTCAAAAGTCAATTTTTCATAGTATTCCCAAGGGAATCACGAAATTATGCTAAAAATGTGATATCTCGACAGCAATGAGCTAATAGCTCAAACTTTTTTCAGACTATTCATAGCTTATTAGAATCTATATGATGTATATAGTCCCGACTGAAGAGCTATTCGACACTTGAAAATGTTTCTTCATACGTAGAATAATTACGATAGAGTTGCTAGATTAAATTATCATTTTATGACATTGTAAAGTCGAATTCGTTCTTAAATAAATCTTAACCGTTTACCTTTCATAGAAGCATGATTGAATAATATGAAAAATCTTTATTTATTTTCTTTCAGGACATTATTAAAATGGGCAAAAAACAGCTTATATCGCATAGTATTGAAGTCATATAAAAAAAAAAAAAGGAAGAAACGAATATATAAAAATAAACTAATTTTAAAATAGTACAGGTATTTTTGACATAAATTGTTAAATAAATCGCCTAGTTTTCTTCGAAGTATTGAATAATCACTGAAGACATTTTATGCATATTAACTACATGATGAGGATTACAAGACATACATGAAAGGAAGTGGCGCTTTGTTACATAGGTTGTATTCCCCCGCAAGGTTTCTTTTTGTTTCAATATTTCTTGGTTATGGGTAGTATGAAGATGTAAAATCATCCAATCAGACCTTGGATATTTTTAGTCTTAGCAAAAAGAATCAATATTTTAGAGAACGGTCATTTATATAGGAAAGTACTAGAAAATAGAGAGTATTTAGATGTTTCTGTAGTCGAAAGTTGGTCTTTATGTAAAATGAGTATGATATTTAGAATCAGCATGAAAAATTACACAAGACAATCTATTTTTCATTGTAAAATATTTTCCATGGAAATCTGATCCCTACTTCTCCTCAATCTTTTATCCGTGAGATTTTCCCCCCTGGTCCCCTACGGATCAAATTTTCATGGAAAATATTTTACAATGAAAAATAGACTGTCCAGTGTAATTTTTCATGCTGATTCTGAATATCATACTCATTTTACATAAAGACCAACTTTCGACTACAGAAACATCTAAATACTCTCTATTTTCTAGTACTTTCCCTATATAAATGACCGTTCTGTAAAATATTGATTGTTTTGCTAAGACTAAAAATGTCCAAGGTGTGGTTGAGTGATTTTACGTCTTCATACTACTCACAACCAAGAAATATTTGTGCGAAAAAAAAACCTGCGAGGGATATAAGCGCCATTTCCTTTATTCTTGATTGTTCTCTGTCTGTCAAAGAGTGACAACAGAGTTCATTTTACAGCTTATTGTCTATAAATCCGTCAAACTGATCTCTACTTCCTGAAGAAAAAAAATATTGTGTTTAAAAAATTTCATTTTTTTTCTCAAAATTATTAATTTTGTAAATTAGATATTTCGGAAATGATGCTATGAAACGGAAGTGTTCTTTTTTTACTAATCATAGCTTATGAAATTTATTATGAAATATGTTCTTAATGCTTTGAAATTCTATGCATTGCTTAGTTTTTGTAATCGATTAACAAATAGTTACTCCATTAGTAAAAGGTTAAGGTTAAATAAATATTCTAGTGACCTTTAAACTTCTTTCAATTGAATTTTTTAAAGTAAACTTAATTTTTTGAATATTTGTTAAAATTCTGTTAGGATGATTTCAAAATAAAAGATTTTATTTATTTATTTTAGAATGATCTGCATCAACGATCTATTTTTTATATGTCAAGAGTTCGGATTATCATGTACTTATTTTGTTTTTTTTTTCTGATTTCTTGAAAAGCAAAAACCGTCCTATTTTATCCATGTCTTTTATAATATATTTTTATTATTCTTTTGCTTTCTTTCAAACATTCCTATGTAACCTATTGCTGAAATGATCTTATTATTGTGACTATTTCTTTTTTTGTTATTTTTATTTATTCATATAATCTTCAATATAGAATAAAATTTTTCTATATTAAAGCTTCGTTTTATTTTTGCTTTTTAGATTTTTATATTAGTATATTGTTAAATTAATTTATTATATAATATGTAAAGATTGAATTAAGAAAAGAAAAATGTTTTTTATTTAATAGTTCTGTCATGTTAAATAGGTCAACTAATGGTGGTGGTGCCTCAACACCAGCTGGTGGTGGTGGAGGTTCAAAACGTCTAGCTCAACAACAGGCACAAGTGGACGAAGTTGTGGATATAATGAGACAAAATGTTGATAAGGTGTTAGAACGTGACAAAAATTTGTCACTCCTTGATGATCGAGCTGGTATATTGAAAAAAAAAAATTTATAATTATTTATGTATTTATTATTTTTGAAGATAAATTACAACATAATGCAGCTCAATTTGAACAACATGCAGGAAAATTAAAACGAAAATTTTGGTTGAAGAATATGAAGGTAAATATCAAAAAATGATTATAAATATAGAAAAGTTTTTTTCTGCTTATTATCTTTGACGAAATAAATTATTATTATTATTTTTTTCTAATGGGAATGATTAGATGATGATTATTTTGGGAATAATAGGCACTATTTTTGCCATAGTGGTAATAGGTAAAAAAAAGAACCTAATGTTGTTATTGTTTTACTTTTTTTTACCATGATCCCATTGTTATTGAATCGCACGTTTATCGTTAGCTTTTGATAGTTATATATATATATTTTTAAAATATGAATTTTTGATTAATTATTTATTCATTTAGCATGGATCTATTCGAAAGTTAAAGTAGTTGTACCTGCTCCTTCAACTGCTGATGTAACAACATCTATTCCATCGGTAAATGATGGATTACCTAAAGTAGCCGGTGGTTCAATGGCTATACCAGGTGAACAAAAAGCAACATCAAAACGTCGTAAACATCGAACAACGGCAACATCAACAATAGCAACTATTCTAGTCAGCTCAACAGTGGCACCAAAAAATGAAGATGATGGATCTAAAAATGAGGCAGATACTTCAAAAACAGTTATAAAACGATTTATTCGTACACTTATACAATAGTCAATGATTGTCATCAAGCAAAAAAGAAACATATTTCTTCATTCCATCGTGACGCGATCCTCTTGCACTATTTTTTTTTTTGCTTTTCTCTCTTTTGGTTTTACACCTTCCATGTTGTTTTGTTTTGTTGTTCGTATACTAAAAATGATACTCATATTTATTTCTCTACAAAATATATATTTTTTAGGGCACATCATCCACTTAATATTGTATAACTTTTATTCTTGAATATATAAATAAATTTTATTTCATTCCTTTTACTCATAAATCAATAATAATTGATAATTGTTTCATGTTAATATGCTGAACTATGAATAGATATATTGAATTTTGTTTACTACGAACATAAACTTCGTGTATATGAGCAGATTCATATAATCATAATCTTATTTGATTTATTCATGCAAATAATTGAGTACAAATACAGTATTGAGTTTCTTTAATATGCCAATTGTATGGATACAACGACCAGACATATTACTCATTATGCGGAATAGTTTGGTTGTTCTGGTGCTTGTTGGAAAAAGAGTAGGTAGAACTAGAAATGCAACGATGACGGTGATCATCGGTCTTAGGTAGAGCGCTGCACTTCTCTAGACATGCATGTCTAAAATAATGCTAAATACGATGATCTTAGAGTCATTTTGACTATGTTGATCAGTATATCAAGCTCTCGAACTAAAAAATTGAGCTCGAGAATTTCGGCAAACCACCTATAGATTCGGATTCCTGGACTCCAAAAATCTTTAGTCTGTTTTTGTGAAAGTTTAGCTATTTTCTTGAAATAGTCTCCTTCATCGAAATCAACCCAAAATACCAAGAAAACACATGACATCACTCCAAAAAGAGCTAGCATAAAGCAATAAAAGTTGTCAATAAAAAAGAAAAAACAACTCATTTCTTACAGACGTTTGTGTAATTTTTCCCGTGAAATTAACCGTTGACTCAACTTGACTATAAAAGCATCTGTAATAGAATTTTAATTCTTGTTTAATCTTTGATGAGGCTCAATTTGATTGTTTTCTTCTTTTTTTTTTCTTTGCTAGTCGAACACAAGGAACTGATAATGTTGAATTAGAAGTCATATCAATCGTCGTTGATGGTGCTGATTCAGTATATTTGACATGAACTGAATCACCAGGTGCAAAAGTATTAATTGTGGATTGACCAAAATTTTCGATAAAGACTATTTGGCACACTCAATTCAATGTCAAACTAAAATTTTATCTAATAAACAAAGACTTATCACTATGGGAATTAATTATGAGAGTATGAAAAGAGAATAAAATAGCTTTTTGCTAATATTTTTTATTTATTTTTGGGATATATAATTCTAGGGTGGGTGTGAATTAAGTAGAGACCCACACCTCACACCCAAAAATACTTGAAAAATAAAACTTTATAGGACCATTTTTGAATATATAGGAAATATAGAACGACTACGAAGCCTGCGCTGAAGTAACGAATAAAAGCAAAACACTTGAACACTTTTCTGCTATGGATAAAAAGATATGACAACCAGAAAAAAAGAAAGTTTTGCACTGTAGGTTGTGACGATTTGTGCCTTGCTTTCCATCATGCCAGAGGAAATGTTTAGAGGAGTCTTATATTCGATACCGAAGACTGGACTCGTCCAATTTTCATAGTCGCTATTGTTGTTCTCATCTCCGAATATCTTCAGAGCTCGATACAAGAACATATAATTCCCAGCTGGCACTTGGACACCAGTGCTGAGTGTTCCATTCCAAGTAGCATTATAATGGTTGTCAGCATCTGTCAGGTAGTTTCGAGAAACCCAATACCAAGGAAAACTAGGAACACTGCCAAGAATATTGACACCGACAACCTCAGTTTGATTGCCGCTGCCGAGAATATCGAGTCGTACAACGGGTGAACCCATGCCGAGTCGCCAATTGAAATTGGGTAGACCAGTGGTAACATTGAATGTTTTATTGATACCAATAGGCTTCAGTGGTGAACTGTCATCAGATGAATTCGAGACATAGAGAGAGCGACTCTCAAAATCTGTGACTATGACCTGTTTCATATTGCAACCAATTCCCATATAAGGCAGATGGAAACTTTCGTTTTTGCTACTCTCAATGTTGATGTAGCCAGAGAAAACTGGGATGCGTTCTGTTTGTAACGTCCCGGGTCGTGAGAATGTCACTCTTACAATAGCGATACTCTTACCGGGAATGGTTAAGGCGACAGGCGAGATAATAGCTGTAGCATATTGTATATTGAGTTCAGGAGGAAAGCCCTGAGGAAAAGATGTATTCACGTTCAAAGTGTATGCAGTGGCTGCTCCTTGCTGCAAGTGACAGACAACTTAATAGAACAAGAAATTCAATGACAGATTGACTTACATGTGCGAGTATATATGACACGTCTCTTGAATCGGTGTTTGAAATAGTAAATTCCACTGTCTCGTTGAAGTGGACGGTATCATTCAAGGCCAGAATGTTCGGACTAATTTCGGAAGTGTAGTGTATTGCTGCAAATGCATTAACCAAACCACCCCCTTGTTGAACAATAGGAGTCAAGTAAGAATGAGTCTGTTTCCCATCGTTAAAGAAAAGAGGAGTAGCCGTCGTAGCCAAAATTTGTCTGAGAGTCCGATAATCGATTATTGTTTGAGGTCTTTTTATACTTCTGTATAACGCAAGAATGCCTGCAATATAAGGTGTGGCCATAGATGTTCCAGAAAGTACAGCATAAGCACCCATATCAGTAAGATAAGTCGATAAGATATTTCCACCAGGAGCAGAAACTTCTGGCTTGACGTACAGCTCATTTGTAGGAGACCATGACGAAAATTTACTCATTGTGCCACCTGTAATGTTGTTGGGTATATCGAGGATAGTTGTTGTTGAATTAGCCGGGAAGTAAAAGGTAACCGTACGTTCTTCTTTTAGATGGATGATCCACTGATTACCTAACTCAGCTGAAACCATGGCTGATACAACTCCATTTGGACTCTGCGGATTAACAATGAGATTTTCATTGTTGTAGAAAATAATATATTGAGCACCGCACTTTTGAACATTAGCAATTTTACGGAGAAAGGTGCATGTGCCTCTACGAATCAGAACAATTTTCTCCGACAACGATGATGTATTACATCGTAATTCAGTGCAAGCATCAGCTGGATTGCTTGTATTGAAGTCAAGAGCATACAGTGAATATCCAGAGATGTTTGTAGGATATGGATTATTTGCAGGAAAGTATTGAAAAGTTGTATTGAGTCCCGAGTTGATAGCAAAATATCCATGAGACACTGCTCGAGGGATCGTAATACTATCAACCGACCCAACAGCAATGGCATCAATACTGATTGCTGGCGTTGAAGCGAAGAATAATCCTTATTGCAATCAAAATGTCATTTTGTCTCAATCAAAAACTTTTATCTTTTCTTACCAGCATCGCCTTCGTTGCCAGCAGCAAGAGTACAAGATACACCGGCTCTAGCAATTCTGCTCACAAGTACCGCTAACGGATCTTCTGTCCATCCAGAGGCGTCACCAAGAGAAGCGGTGATAATTTGAGCTGAACTCAAAAGATAGCAGGTTCATAAATAAAAAAATGAAGAGATATGATATTTACCACCAGCTTCATAAGCAGCACTAAAGGCAGCAATGATGACATCGTTTGCAGCACCACCACTACATCCGAAAACTCGATACATTCCAAGAGTGGCATTTGGAGCAACACCCGTGAATACAGGAGTGTTAGCGCCAATAATACCACTCACGTGTGTACCATGTCCGTTGCAATCGAGCGGATATGGATCAGGAATGCCAAAGTTATATCCAGTATAATTATCGCCAACAAAGTCATAACCGAACTGAATCTTGTAGTCCAAGCCAAAGCCTCCACCTAATGCTGGATGCCTATACAATTAATTAGATGAATGCTGATTTGCGCAGAAAAATATGATCGTACCTGTAGTCAACACCAGTATCTATGATGGCAATAGAAATACCCTCACCTTTATATCCCTGGGCATGCAGTTTATCAACACCGCTCATTACATGAGGAGCATACGGATTTGTGTAAGTTTCATTCTCAGCTTCATTAATGAACTCCGAGAGATTAATAATGCTTTTAACACTAGTAGCGGGTCTAGAATAGACAGTTACGGGCCAAATAGCAGACACTGAATCTAAAGTTGCAATGGCAGACATATCATCATGATTGTTTAGATGGAAGGAAGCACCGATGAAGAGATGAGAAGAGAAATTGAGATAAGGAGTCACATCAGTTTTCATGCTAGCTAGTTTCTGATAAAACAATTCGTGCTACAATAAAAAGATAGTGATCAACTTTTGATGGTTATTGTATAGCCATACATGATTACTCGTTTGTAAACGAGTCAGAGAGGAAGAGAATTCTACAATGTAGGCGCCAGGAACAATTGAACGCGTCTTTTTGACACTGTTTGACTTGATAGCGGTGGTGGAAGGAAGAAAGAAGCCGATCGGTACCAAAACAAGCCAGAAAAAGGATTGAATTGGTGGAATCATTATTGACGTTATTTTCTAGATAATCTAGAGCGAAACTAGAGAAACCCAAGTAAACGAATCCGATACCGGATTCGACCAACCGACAGTATCCAATGAGGCCCTGATAAAGAAATCACTAACAAATCCAACGGTCAGATCCGTATTAATTTTCGATGATATGTGACTGTCCAACCGTTAGATATATCAACTATCGGACTTCAATAAGACTGCTATAAGTCTCTAATTGACTTTTCGATTTCTTTTGGATGGTTAATTCGTGCTAGTGAACTTATTGTGAAAGAACATGATTCGAAAAAGATTTGATATCTTTGTTCGTTTTTGATAGAATCAAATACTAGGAGCTAAGCGGACATCCAATACCAAGGATTCGGATGTAATTTAGACATCCGATTTTCGATGATATTTGTATGGGATTCAACGGGTTTTAATGAAACTCTGAGGGCATCTGATAAAATCTCATTGTTAAATTGATTCTCCTAGGAAGAATCAACAAAGAATAGCAACATACTTCACATTAGTTGAAAAAATTATTTCATACTATTGTATTTTGATCGGTTTCGTCTGTGTAACTATAAGCATCAACCATCATGTCCTTTTCTCTCTTATATTAATAACATTAAGTGCCCATATGTGAACGATACCAGTATCGTGCTGTAAAGGAGCGATGTAAGAGACTCTACACCAAACTCTTTCTTTGAAGAGAAGAGGATAACCGTGCATCCCTTCGGTATACAGTAACAGAACAGGAGAAGAATAGTAATAAAAACTACTTAAGCATTGCAAATATATAGATGAATAGTGTATCCTTTGCATATTTCTATTCTGAGAATATGACACTTATCAACAATCGTCAAAATCATCGAGAAGAAATTATCGCAAAGGGCACTGTTGGATAGGGCCATAAATTTGACTCCACCTTAGTTATGACTTTGAATAGGTAAAACAGAAAGAGCATGAAAATTTGCCCATTTTGGTATATTTTTTTATTTTTACTCAACATAAGAATCAAAACAAATGTTTTTTACCGTGTTAAGGTAAGTTTTTTATGACTTACATGAATTCTATTGATGTGGTCGCTCTCTTAATATGGAATTCAAAATATTCATAGCTACCAATAGAAGTTGTATCAGTTCATATCCTTCGAGGCTTTTTCTTAGAATAAGATCCTATTTACGTAAGGTGTGCGTAAAGCAATATTTTAGTAAAATATTGCTTTCATCTATTTATATATCATTCGAGAGAGCATGAAAAGTTGGCTATAAATATCTTAATTTGAAATTGAGTCGACTCCGTTTTAGTAGTAAATGCGGAAACTTCGGATTTAAATCCGAGAGTTATGTGTACTTCAAAAAGTGAATCAGACGGATCAGCCATCCTAGAATGTGTGAACATCAAAATTATACTGGGGAACCTACCCTCTAAAATGTTGATTTCTATTGGGTATTGCCAAACCAATAGGACTTGGGACCGAATACAGCTCAAATTTGAACTCTTCACCTTGATTAAGGCCTTGTCTCCACTAGAAAATTTAATACCGAATTAAGAAACTTGA